ACCCATCCCGACTTCGAGGTCACGCGAGGGACAGACGTCCAGAACCCCGAGTCGAGGGCCAGTCGATGCTAGATCTCAGAACGTTGTTGGCGAAAGTGTGGGCACTCTCCCCATACATGACGACAAGATGGCACCAGCGCCCCGTTCTTCGTGAAGGCCTCCCCCTTTCCCCTGCTCTCTCTCTCTCTCTCTCTCTCGAAGACGAAGAAGAAGAAACACCTACATTAATACAAGCTGTCGAGGACCCCGCGGATTTCAAACCCCTGTGCTGATAGCGGTGCACACTTCCAGGTCCCCAGCCCCCCGCTCTTCGAGAAGGCCTCCCCTCCCCCTCCACGCTCGAAGAAGAAGAAGAAGAAGAGGAAGTAGCTGCATGAGCACAAATTGTCGAGGACCCGCGTGTTCTTTCCTTTGGATTTGTGCTGGGCCACCGTAGCGGCACCTCCAGCGCCGTCCTTGGCATGTTTCGCGCGCCAGGGAGCGGGGCCCTGAGCCGATCCAAGAAATCCGTGCGGACCTCCGAACTTTTTTTGGCGCTGGCGTTTGTGTATGACGTCCCTTATGCCGTCTTCTCTATCGGTGACATTCTCCCTCTCTTTGCCCTCCTCTCGTCGTCCTCCTCGTCGGGATTCCTTCGGGGACGTGGTCCGTGAGCGTTCAGCCCAGTCCAGGCACGCACCTGGCATGGCACCCGCGCAGGGAGGCGTGAGACGTTCGCTCCTCGGACTCTCCCAGTCTGCTGGTAGCAGGAAGGGTGGTGCCCGCAGCCACCGTAGACGGGTTAATGGCGATGTGGGTTTCGGCTCGTCGTCGTCCTCGACGTCCTCGTCGTCGTCGTTATCGTCGTCGTCATCGTGGTCGTCGTCGTTTCCGTCGTCGTCATCGTCGTCGTCATCTTCGTCGCCGTCGTCGTCGTCGTCGCCGTCGTTTCGCTGTCCTGCGACTCGCTGTATCGTGCTCGCTCGAGCCATTCGCAGACCGGAGATGTAGGAGTGTGGTCTGCGATTTCCTACAATGTGGTTCCCAGCGTCACCGTAAAGCATCATCGCCGTTAGCCTGGCCTTGGATCCCCTCCCCCCCACCCGGCGTGGCCCTCAACGCTTCGAGGATATGCCTGTTCCCAGTAGGGTCCTCTTAGAGGTATTTTGGATCAAGTGGCGTATTGCATCACGCAGGGACTGCATGTGATGACTCTTTTGAGGTGCTGGCCCTCTGTTCACCGTCACACCCACATCCTCCTTCTCGACATCCTGCCTTCCCCCCCTGCTCCTCGTCCCCCCCTCCCTCTCAGCATTTTCAGGCTCTGGCCGGACGTTGCAAGGGACTGTTTCCCCTAGCCAGCTAGTCTGCCAGAAAGTCTGTACGAGTTTCCGAGGGCGGGCGTGGGCCCTTCCGGGTCCGGAGTCTCGGCTCCTGGCCTCCCGCGTGGTCTCCCCGTATGGTTGCGTGTGGTCTCTCGCGTCGTCTCCCGTCTTGTCGTCCGCACGGTCTCCTGCACGGTCGCCCGCGTGCGCTCCCGTGTGGTCTCTCCCGTGTTCCGTATGGTTTCCCGTAGGGTCTCCCGTATGGTCTTCCAGCTGGTCTCTTTGGTATCGTGTCCTTTTTTATGGTAACCAGTGCTGTTGCCCGCATGGCTTCTGCCATTGTCTCCCGCCTGTTATCCCTTTTGGCCCCCTTTGGATCGACTCTTCAGGCTGGGGAGTATTTCTCATAGCGTTACTCTGTCCAGAAAGCCCGAAGAACAACCGACAGGCAAATGCATATTTGTATGCCCCAACTATATGCATGCTGCATCGCTCCTGCCGCAATCCCCCCGCACATGTCCAGACTCTGTGGATCCAATTGCTTGCGTACGTTCGGTACGAGTTAAGGTGTTGTTCATTTACCTTGGAAAGAATTGGACCCACGAGAATCCACGAGGCTTCCACGCCCAAGCAGTAGGTCCAGACGGTCGATCAGCTGGATCTAGACGATTGAAGCTTGCACTCTCCCGCTTGAGAGTTTTCATTGTGTACGACAAGACGGTCCAATCCGTGCAGTGTATACACGGATAAATAGCGATTGTGTTCGAAATTGGCCTTCCGTTCGAAGTTCCGTTGCTTTCTCTCGCATGTTGATAAGCCAGGTTCTCGCATAATGGCACGCCCATTGGGCGGTACCCGCCTTTCCAGGTGGCGCTCCCGCATTTGAAGTGAATTTTTCGAGGGATCACCCAGAAAGGGACCTGGGCCGTCACGTTGAATTGCAGCATCATTGATGCATCCTGGCTGGGGCCATGAGCATGCCCACTATACTAAGGCATGCTCGTCCACCACTTAGTGCCGAGTGGCGGCCCAAGCACAGTGTGTATGTATGTGTATATATATATATAGATATATGTATATATACATATATATATATATAGTCCACACATGTCGCCAGGAGGACTGGTCAGAAAATTATGCACTATACGTGGTCATGCCGCCCTTCTACAAAGCCCCACGGCCCACGGGACAGGGCCCAGATGTGTTAGTGTATTTACTCGACTACACGTAAGAGTGACCTTTCGCCGGAGTGACCTTTGGTGCGGGCTCATCGGGCTCCCCCCGATCGCCGAGCGCGATGCGATATCAGCGGCCCGCGCCCTTGGGTCTGGCTCCCTCGCGCCCCCAAAAGGTCACTCTTACCCAGGGTCACTCTTACGCCTAGCCGACATACGCACGGTTCCCGCCTGGGTTTATTTTTTGGGACAGTCCGTTTCCTCCTCCGTGCGGTAGGCTTGCGCAGCGCGGAGACCGCGGCGACCCCGGCGCGGGCATGCAAGGCTGATCGTCGCCAGGTGGCCCGGCATTGGCCGTCTTCGAACGGTCGTCGCCGTCGCTCGAGGCCGAGCGAGCCGCGCGGCGTCAGTCGGAGGTGGATCTACCCCTCTTCCCTGACACGTCGATTAAGGAATTGACCGTTTTCGGTTCGCGAGAAGGCGTCGCGGCCGTCACTTTGGCGGGTCCAGGTCCGTCGGTTTCGGTCCCAGGCCGTTTTCACTTTAAGGGGAGGTGTACGAAAGGGAGGTTTCACCGCCGAGGTCAGAGGCCCCGCGCTGAAGCCGTCACGACTCTGGCTTGCGGCAGCCCCCTGGGCTCAAGTGACCTGGGCTCAGTTGGGCGGCGAGCCAGGGGGGAAAGTGAGAAGGAGAAGGCCTTCTCAGCAGACGGCGGGACTTCTCAGAAGCCTTCTGAGAAGTGCACTGTGCCTTCGGGGCAGGCGTGGAGAACTTTTCAGAAGACCAGGGGATTTCCGAGCCTTCTGAGAAGGCCTTCTCCTTCTCCTTCCCCCCCCCCTCGCTCGCCGCCAATCGGTGTCGATGGCATGGTGACGCACACCGCAGCGGAGGCCCCGCGGAGGCTCCATGAGGGCCCTTGCCGTTCTGGCCGCGGGGGCGGCACCTGCCGCGCGGGCCACCGGGGGCAGCACCACCTCGGAGGTGCCGGCGGACGCCGGGGGGGCAACGGCCGAAGAGGGGGGGAGGGGGTGGAGCTGGCCCAGGGTCAAGCAGTGGCGAGGCGTTCTGGCGTGCCTGTAGTCTTAGTCCTACCAAGCAATGTTCTACGAACCGCTTGTGGTTCCCACGAGATGTGCTTAGAACCTTTCTGGTCGGGACTGTGTCTGGTCGGAACCTTGTGTCTGTTCGTAGAACATGTTTGGGTCCGAAGAACATTTCGTGGCAGGACTACAGGGGCGCCGGGGCGGTCGGCCCCTGCTCAACAGGGGGGGACGAGGAGCGCGGAGGGGCCAGGCTCCAGGTTCGAGGTGTGCGGATCTCTCCGCAGGGTGGGCGCTCGGTGGTGCTCCAGCCCCGGGGGAAGGCTGTCCAGCAGCGGCGCCTCGCCGAGCGCGGAGAGCCGAGGTGTGCCGAAGGGCCGCGGGAGAGCCGAGGTGTGACCTGGCAGCCAGGGGCCAGCGGCAGGGACTTGGCATCGCTGGGACGTGTGCGTTTCTCCCTCGGCGAGGACCATCGAGGACCATCCTGGACCGCCGAGCAAGAAAATCACGCACGAAGCCGAAATACGCACGGGGAATGGACGTCCGAGCGATGGCAAGGGGAGGGGTAGGCTCGCGGGGGGGGAGCATCGACCCCCAGTCGCCCATCCCTCGCCCATCCCCACCCCGTGGGCTCCCCACCCCGCCCAGGAGCGTGCGGCTCCCAAGTCGGAGGCCCGTCGCCCGATCGCTCGGCGAGGTGTCGCCGCTTCGAGGTCATGGCCCCCCCCCCGTGGGCCGGTCCCGCCTGCAGTGGGCCCCGGAACCGTTCGAGCAGTTCTGAACCGTTTCCAGACATCTGGCTCTCGGATGTGATCGGCGGCGAGCCCGAGGGGGAGGGGCCAACATCGGGCCGGGACAGACGGGGGATCTCTGAGGTTAAGTCGGACGTGTCCCTCTACAGGAGGTCTATGCAAAGATATTCACAAAATAGTCTGGGGACATTTTTTTTAAGCGTTTTTGGCAATTTTGGTGTTTTTTGTATTTTTATTGTTCGTCGAGAATCCCCACGTAGGGGGACAGGCCCGACTTAACTCTGAGGGCCGTCGCCTCTGGTGGATGTATCGGGCGCCGCCGCCGTTCCAGGAGCGCTCTGGGAGCGTCCTGGAGCGGTTTATCCTGGTCCTGGCCGCGCCCGACTCCCACCCTGCTCGGGGTCTCTATTGGCGGCGAGCGCGGGGGGGGGCAAAGTGAGAAGGGGTGGCCCTTCTCGGAAGGCTCGGAAGCCGCCTGGCATTCCGAAAAGTTGTCTAAGCCTTCCCTGGAGACAGAACATGTTTCAGAAGGTCTCGCCGTCTTGAGAAGGCCTCTTCCTTCTCACTTCCCCTTCTCGCTCGCCACCGAAGAAAGACACTAAAACAACCGCTCACCGAGACGGAACATTCTGCGCCGGAGCCAGAGGCGGAGTCGCAACAAGAGTGGCGACACAACGGGAGCACAACAGGAAACCATAACCGACAAGAAGTCGGGCCCGTCGTTTCTAGGGCCCTCAGTCCCCTTTGTCCGACCCTTCTCAGGACGCCGCATCCTGCACGTGGCCGCAGTGCACCTACAAGTGCCGTTGCAAGAACTACGACCCTGTCGGCTCCTGCGCGGTCTCGCTCGTGATCCCGAATTTCTCGAAAGTTCCCGATGCGTTCAACGATTTCGAGGGACGTCGGGGGGACGAGGCCTAAGCACAGCAGGCACACCAAACAAGAAACGTACCTACCAACGGGTGCCCTACGATATTCGTTGATCTCCCGATGGGGCCACAGAGCCCCGAGGCAACCTGCGAAGCTCAGAGAAGCATGCATGTGATCCCTGGCCAGACCCCCGACGCCGTGACCCCTTCTCCGGAACCGTTTTTTTCATCCTGAGCAGTTTTTTGACGGTCCCGAGGCTTGGTAGGGGCCCCCAGAGTCCGAAATACTGAAGAACGCCCCGTGGCGATTTGTTCACAACGCGAGGGGGTCTGGGTATAGTTCTCATGACATGAGTTCTTACCGCACCTGCCTGCTGCATATGCACTGTCCACCGCTCCTGGCCAGGCCCAGCCTGGGCCCGCGATCGGTGCTTCCGCCTCCCCGGAATCCCTGAGCGGGGGGGGCCTCTGCAACGCCCCGGGGCTCAGGATTGGGCCGGCCAGGGGTGGACGGAGGACATGACCTTGGGCTCCTCCTCCTCCTCCTCCTCCTCCCCCTCCTCCTCCTCCTCCTCCTCCTCCTCCTCCTCCTCCTCCTCCTCCTCCTCCTCCTCCTCCTCCTCCTCCTCCTCCTCCTCCTCCTCCTCCTGCCCCGAGGGGGCCCCTCCCGTAGGGGAGGGGTCGGGACCCTAGGGTCCCCCTGGCGCAGGCGGGGAGCGCCGGGCCCGAGGGGCGAAAAGCCCCCGCACCCCGGGGGACGCCGCCAATGCGCGGTTTCCTTCCCCCGGGGGGGTCGCCAGGCCCCGTGTGCTTCCCCAGGGCGGTGCTGGGTTCCCCCCCAGCACTCGCCGCCCTGGGGCGGGGTCGGCGGCCCGTCCCTGTCGTGTCGCTCGTTCGTGTCGTGTCGTTCGTGTCGCGTCGTTCGTTTCGTCCCCCTGTCGTGTCGTGTCGTGTCGTGTCGGGGTCCCGGGGTCCGAATCGCGGCCACCCATGGAGTGGGTGGTGGGTAGGGTTGGCGCGGAGCACGTGCTCCTGCGCCCCCTACCCCGACCAGGGAGCGCGGAGCACGGTCTCCTGCGCTCCCTGGTCGCGCTCTGGTCGCGCCACGGGGGCACGGCCCCGACCGTGGCGCGTCCGTCTTTTTCTCGCTGGCACTCGCCACGCCAGCGGAGGCATGTGGCTGTTCATGGGTTGACCATAAAAAAAAAAAAAATCCCCCTCCTCCTCCTCCTCCCTCCTCCTTCCTCCTCCTCCTTCTCCCTCATATCTCCTCCTCCTCCTCCATCTCCTCCTCCGTCCTCCTTCCTCCTCCTCCGTCCTCCCTCCTCCTCCTCCTCCTCCTCCTCCTCCTCCTCCCTCCTCCTCCTCCTCCTCCTCCTCCTCCTCCTCCTCCTCCTCCTCCTCCTCCTCCTCCTCCTCCTCCTCCTCCTCCTCCTCCTTCCTCCTTCTCCTCCCTCCTCCTCCTCCTCCCTCCTCCTCCTCCTCCTTCTCCCTCCTTCCTCCTCCTCTCCTCCTCCTCCTCCTCCTCCTCCTCCTCCTCCTCCTCCTCCGGGCGGCCGCGTGTCTGCCGCGCGCCGAGAGCACTGTGATCGGGAGCCGCGCACCCCCCCCCCCCCAGGCGCGACCCGCCGCTCGGCGGCGAGCCGCCCCCGAAGAGGAAGGGGTGCGCCGGCCGGGGCCTATAGACTCCGCTACACGGGAGCTCCGCGGACACCGCGAGGACCCCGTAGCCGGCCGCCTCGGGCCCCCGGGCGGCCTGCGCGCCGGCCCCCAGCGCCGCCCCCAGCGCAGCCCCCTGGCCAGTGCAGCGCGCCAGCCGCCCCCCGGCGCCCAGCGGCGGCCGCGCCTCCGCCGCCCGCGCCAGCTCCGCGCCGCTGCCGCCGCCAGCTGCCCCGCACCGCCGCGTGCCGTGCTCTCAAGCCCCCGCCGGCCGCCCGCGCCTGGCGCCGCCGGCCAGCGGGGGCCCGCCGCCCGCCCTGCCGCCTGCTCCAGCCCGCCCTGCAGCAGGCCTAGGCCGCAGACCCAGGGCAGCCTCAGCGCAGCCCGGCCGCGCGCCGCAGCTGCTGCGCCAGCTCCCGCTGCAGCGCGCAGCTGAGCACCCGGTAGGCGCGCGCCAGCTCCTCCGGCTGCGCGTCCTCCGGGAGCTCGCGGACGTGGCTCAAGAGCCAGTCCCGCGCCTCTGCGCCGAGGCGGCCGCCCGTCTCCAGGGCGAAAGCCGTCGTCAGGCGCTCGCCCGGGTAGCGCGCGTGCTTGGCGCGCTCGGCCCGGCGCGCCGCCTCGCCCGGGCGTCGCGCCGCCGTGCGCACGGCGGGCTCGTCGCCGGCAGCTGGATGGCGCACTGTCACGTCCAGCCACCTCCTGCCGTCGACATCGTCGTATTCGACGTCCAGGATGGCCCGTTCCTGGACCGCCAGCTGTCCTCGCCGCGGCGCGCGGGCCCTGTCCCACGTGGGCCCCGCTGCTCGTATAGAGCGGAGCGCAGTGGCCCCACCTGCCAGCGAGGCTGCCCACGGCGCGCGCCACTCCCTGGTGCCGCTAAACAACTCCGCCGCCGGGCTGGCAGATCGCGGCGTGGAAGCCAGCCTCGTCCAGTGGCGCCTGACATGGGGCTCCCCCGGCTGTCAGGTTCTGGCAAGTCGCCGCAGCTCGCGCGAGCTCGTCGGCGGCGCACTCGGGCCGCGGCAGCTGGACCCTGCGCCGGGTCGCGGTCTCGCAGTGAGGGTCCTCCAGAGCGCAGGCCAGCTCCGCGGGGTACTTCAAGTAAGCCCCAGCGCCTGGCCCCCCGGCAGAGAGCAGCGCCGCCTGGCTGCAGTGGTGCATTCGCTGCTTTGCAACATGCAGCGTGGGTTCTCTTATGCACCATGGCAACCAAGGTCTTCTGTTTGGTCGGGTGGCCCAGCAAGGCCTCCAGGGGCGCCGCGGGCTCAGGGTCAGCGCCCTGGCGCGCCAGCTCAGCCCGCGTCGCCTCCAGCGCGGCCGCGGCCTGTGGCAGGGCCGCCAGCATGTCTCCGAGGGTGGAAACGCCGGAGATGCCCAGGTCGTGCTGGACCTCCGCGGCCGCCTGCGTCCAGGCCGCCCAGCACGCCGCCGCGCGTCTCGTGGCAGCCCACTGCGCGCCGGCCCCGCCCAGCTTAGCCGGCAGCCCCAGCAGCTCGCTCGCCTCCGGGCCCAGTGGCCGTCGCAGCAGGCTCTCCCAGCAGCCTCTGAGCGCGGTGTCGTAGCGGAAGGTCTCCTCCGCCGAGGCCAGGGCCAGTTGCAGGTGGTGCTGGCTGGCGTTGCCGGCGTAGGTGTTGAGCAGCGCGCCCGCGGCCTGCTTCTTGAACCCTCCTTTCAGCAGTCGCTCGAGGCCGGCCCAGAGCTTCCCGAGTCGCTCCGTGGCCCCGTCCAGCCCGCAGCCCTGTCCGCCGAGCGGGAGCGCCGCGCCGTCGGCGTCTCCGGGCGCCCTGAGCTGCGCGCCGAGGACTGGGAGCACAGCCACATACTTGGGGGCGAGCTCGGCTTGGACAGCCTGGATCCCCGCGGGAGACCAGACCAGCGTCTTGTCGTCGTTCGGCTCCAGCCCCAAGGGCGCGAGCAGCTCGCGCAGGCCCGCCAGCGCCAGGACCGAGGTCCGCCCGCACCGCCAAGTAGCTGTCGTCCAGGTAGGAATACAGGCGGGCGCCCGGGTCCAGTTGCTGCAGCCGGTGGAGAAGGTGTTCCAGGGCGCGCCGCTGCCCAACGGCGAAGCCCGCAGGGGACTGGGGGTCACCCTGGTCGACCCCGCGCTGGCTCTGGACCGTTTCGAAGCGCCCGTCGGCCGTGCGCCAGTAGTGCTCCGTCGGGCCCGAGTACCAAACCCTCAAGGCCGCCGCCACCTCAGGGACAGCTTCGTCCATGGTCTCGAGAGCCGGCCCTCGCCGCATCCGTTGGAAAGCGGCCTTTACATCCACCTTGATGAATGTAGCGTCCGGCCGGGCTTCCGCCAAGGCCTGCAGGCTCTTTACCAATACGTTGGAGCCGCCTTTGCGCCCCACGCCGTACTGGTGTTTCCCGGCTGCGTCGGCCAGCTGAGTCTTCCGTGCTCTCGCCAGCGCGCGCAGCCCCAAGCGGCGGAGAGTGGCACCCACCAGCAGAGGCCTCACGTCCCCGGCGCCCTTCGCGAGCGCCACGAGCTCCCCCGCGCGGAGGGCCTCGAGCACTTCCCGCGGCAGCTCCCCGAAGGCGACCCTCGTGGCAGCCCGGGCGAGCAGGCGCGAAGTCTCGCCGTCGGCGGCGCTCGCCCCCAGGTGCTCGAGCCGCGTCCCCAGCAGGCCCGGCGCCGCCAGGCGGGGAGGGCGCCTCCTCCTCCTCCTCCCTCCTCCTCCTCCTCCTCCTCCTCCTCCTCCTCCCTCCTTTTCCTCCTCCTCCTTCTCCCTCCCTCCTCCTCCTCCTCCTCCTCCTCCTTCTCCTCCTCCTCCTCCTCCTCTCCTCCTCCTCCTCCTCCTCCTCCTCCTCCTCCTCCTCCGTCCTCCTCCTCCTCCCCTCCTGGCCAGGGGCGGAGGACATGTGCGGTGCACAGGCCTCGCCGCCGCAGGATGCGCGCCCGACCGCGGCCCGACCGAGTGCTTCCTGGGCAAGTGCCTCTGCAAAGAGGGCTTCTGCGCCTCGGAGGACGGGGAGTCCTGCGAGCCAGAGGTGTGCGTCCCGGGCGCCACGGCCCCGCAGCACTCCCGGTGGGGTCGAAACGGATGCGGGAAGAACGGTGCGGTCAGGACCCATATCCGTATGCATTGTGTCTTGGACTTTCTGGGAATGGGCGCCAAAAGGCCGAGGCGCAGTGGATATGGATAAACATTTAGCCTCTGGGGGCCAGATGTGTATCCACATCCACTGCGCCTCTGGTTCCCGGGGAAGGAAACCCGAAGTTCGAAGACGCCGTCGATATGGACGCAAAGCTTGCCCGCAGAATGAAGTCGAAGGTCTGCAGCAGCGAATGCCCATCTGGGGCAGGACTCGCTGCCGGTGTCGCCGCGGACGTTGCCCGCTCGAGGGGGACAGGCGCCTGCCCGGCTGCGGCCGCTGTGGATTTTGGATCGCGTTCGCTGTGCGACATGCACGTTTTCCCCCGTGCCCTTTTCGGGCAAGCCAAGGTACGAGCCGACGGACTATTGGATGGGTAAGTTCTACGATCTGGCCTCGAGCGACAGGTTCCCGCCGCCTGGCACCACGAAGAGCGAGGTTCAAAGGAAGAACATATTCTCCTTGTTCATTTTTAAGTCTTCGAAAGTTCTTGGATTTTTTCGGGGGCCAAGATCCTTCCATTCTAATTGTTCTATCCTTGGCCTTTCCCTGGCCACTAGGGGGCCAGGAACAATTAGAAACGAGTACGATTAGAAATGAACGACGTGTGCCGATGCCGCTGCCCTTCTCTCGTCCCCACGGCGGGATTCGCCTCGCCATCTTGATCAGAGCGCACCCTGGGAGAGGTCCGTGGTGGAGCGGTCTGGGGCCTTGGTACCTTTGTGTTCCCGCAGAGGCGCTTGTTTTTGTCCGGGAGAATGCGCTCTGGCCCGCCGTCCTCATCGTGCTGGGGCTGATCGTGGGGATATTGACCTTCGTCTGCCTCTGCCTCAGCCCCGGCATCGGCGACAAGAGGGGCATGAAGGTCTCGCGGCGCCCCGTGAGTCCAGCATCCCGGAGCGAGCGCAACGCGGTTCTGCCCAAAGGGAAGTCGGGGGTGGACATGACCCCCTCTAGCGAAACACCCTTTAGTGACAAAGATCCGGGACCAGACCCAGCGGGCGTAGGCCCGCAAACATTGCGGCCGCAGCACCGTTTCTCGAGAACCGGACACATTGGCAACGTCGCTGATCGACTTGGTCGGGTGGGGTTCTGTCAACCTCCGAGGAAGATGCTGGTCGAGCCCTCCCTCTGCCCGATGTTATCCGTGGCTGGGCTAACTTTGGTCCTGAACGTGGTGCTCATCGTCCAGAGGTCTGCAACCTACGCGCGCACTGCCGGTGCCCTCGACGAGACGGTCGCCCACTTGTTGCGCGACGTCACGACTGTGCAGCAGCAGGCAGGTGAGATCAACCGCACCGTCCGTGGCCTGCAACACCGGTTGGAAGATGCCCCGCAGTCGTGCGCCGGCGTGGGAGACCAGACCAAGGATTCACGTTGCATCTTCTGGGGGCCTTGTTTATACCATCGCGCAGCCATCCGCGTCGAGTCCATGTCGAACGTCGGATCCGCGTCGAATCCGTGTTGGCCACGCGTCTGATACAAGAAAAGAGACCGCAATCCCCAGGACAAACGAGGCCCCTCGAATATGCAACATAGCAAGGAGATGCTGGCGGACAGGACGCGAAGTGCCGTGAGCGGGTACTGCGACCAGGTGGAGAATTTCACCAAGCAGATCCAGCCTTTGCCGGCCGAGGTCAAAGAGGTGCAAGGACACATGCACGATTTCTTCCCATTTCTCAAGTGGGGGCCGGTCTTGCCCGTTCTCGTCATGACCTTGGCGAACGTTCTCATGGTCATTGAGGCTTTCCTGACCCGCGTCTACGGGACCAGCACGCTGGCGAGGGAAGAGGACTTCGCGATGCACGTAGCTGCTGTTATATTCTTCCTGGTGATCTTGATCGTGGCGGTCATCTCGGCGGCAGAGGTCTCAGTAGGCATTGCAGCGAGCTTATTCTGCAACGACGTCGACGAGAACGTCCAGCAGTATGCGGCGTTCTATGTAAACCAAATGAACACCTCTGAGGGCAACAGGCAGATGATGGTCAATCTGACCAAGTTCTACATCAGCGGGGGACTGCCGAGCCCCGTGGGAACGAAGTTGAGGACCTTGTTGAAGTATTTCAAGGCCCTCCAGGAGTATTATAACTCCGCCATGGTGCAGGACAATGCGGGGGTCCCTGCAGCGCTTTGCCCCGCGCTAAGCGAAATCTCGATGCGCGAGGACCTCCTCATGCCAGCGAAGGGCGCGATGGATAGCATGCTCCCGCTGATCAAGACCAGCAATATCTTTCCCTATTACGACAGAGTGGTCCACGATATGATGTGCGGCTCTGTCGTCGAGACCCTTGGCTGGACGGTGGTGACGCAGGCCATCGTCGGCTTCATCTGCTTCCCGGCGTGCGCGGTGCTGACGCACCGGTTCCTGAGCAGCTGGGCCGTCTGGAAGTCCAGGACGGAGCAGGCCAGCGAGGATATGTTTGACGACATGCACGAGGCGACGGGGAAGTTCCGCGCCGACGACGCGGAGGGTTTCTCATCCGAGTCCGACGACGAGGTGCATTGCTTCGGCGTCTGGCGGGGCGGCCGTCGCGAGAACGGCGAGGCCCGTGACAGCCAGGCCCTCATCTCTCCGCGGCACCAGCAGAGCTGGAGCCGATGAACGGGTCGATCGAAGTGGGCACGGAAAGCGTGGTGATGAAGACGGGCAACAGTTTCTGAGCAGGGCTCGGTGTCGGCGTCGTTGCGGGTGTTGTCAGTTCGAGACACGAATCCGCCTGTCCAGCAGCGGCCGCTGTCGGTGCGGCCGCTGTCGGTTTGGGGGAACGTCTGCTGTTGGATATCGCCCCCGTCTTTTCCGCCCCCGTGCGGTGCGTGCAAAAAGCTCGGGGTTGCTGCGGGTGTCCCTGGCCCACCACGGTGACCCCAGCCGTTCGCTCCGCGCTGGAGCCCCCGGCGGCCCTCTGTGCCTTGCGGGCTGGGCCTCGGCGCCCGTGGAGGCCTCCTGGGAAAGCCCTCCTGGGATCGACTCGCCGAGGCGGGGATCGGTCCATGACCACCGCCGGGGGGATCGAGCTCCGGAGGCCTCGGCGGGAGGCGGATCTGAACAGCTTCGGGCTCCTAGTGGGGTGAGGGGGGGGGGCAAGCTTATCCTCACCACCCACCAAACCACCCCAACCCAACCCGAAGGTTCAGATTTACCCTCGATTTCTAGTTGGGGGGGGGTCGGGAAACCTCGAAAAAACACGCGTGGAACCCTTACCCCCCCCAACCCGAAAATTGGGTCTTCGGGTTGGGTTGGGGTGGTCTGGTAGGTAGTCATATCCATATCCATCGCCCGCCGAGGCTCCCGACGTTCGGAGGAGGAGGAGGAGGAGGAGCGAGGAGGTCGTCGTCGAACGGCGGTATGGCTGAGGTCAGCGTACTCGAGACGATTCACTGAAACCGAGTTCCTGAAAAGGACGGGGGGGGGCAGGGCGGGGCCGGCACATCCGAGCCAGGCTCGGAGGGCCGCTGTCGCCTCGGCCTCCCCTGCCGCCGTGTCCCCGACGGCGGGCTCTGAGAAGAGGGAGGGGCGCGGGGGGGCCTCACCCCACGGCGCCACCTCGCGGCGGCGGCGCGCCTCGCGGAGGCGGCGGGCCGCCTCCCTGTTGGCGGCAAAGCGCGCTCTCGGGGCGTCGGAGAGGGGAAGGGGACAAGGCGGGGGAGGGGGAGAGGGAAGGGGGGGAGAGGAGGCGAACACCCAATGAGCGGCTCGCTCCTCCTGGGTGCCAACAAGCTGGTCTATAACAGCCTGCTCGTCGGCAGCATCGATAGCAGTATCGGGACCAGGGGAGGAATCCTCACCAGGCACGTCCTCGGCATCAGAAACCTGAAACCGAGCCTTCTCCGGATCGACCCGACGACGACCACGGGAACGACCGAACCCAGCATAGTCAGGCTGTAATGCAGGGTCGGGAGGTCCATCCTCCGAGCAGGCCGAAACATAAAACTCGGTAAGTTCCGACAAGACCTGCTCAGAAATAGGCGACACTTCAAGATCACTCTCGGCGTCAGGAGACTCAGTGAAAGCCTGAACACTGTGCCAAATCGAGCTAGCCATGGCAGCACCTTCTTGGAGGCAGTGCGAAAAGCACCAGACGCGTCCTTGCCAAGCAAACAGACGTGGGCCCTGGGACCGTGAGAGCACTTGCCCTGGCCAGGAGTGCAGCGCAAAGCATTATGTAAGCCTGGCATTCGGAGAGAAACTTACACAAGCGGGGGCACGCCCAACAGAGGCAGGATCTATATCGGGAGCCTGGTGCTCGCACTGGTCGAAGACCGTAGTGGCCGCACACGGGGCCGAAGAGAGAGCCACGGGGGGGGGCCACCTAAACGAGGAGGGCGCACGCGGGGCCCAGACCGCGGGCGCGGGGTGCTCAAGCCAGGCCCCTGTCCTAGCTCTGAGGTGCTCCGCCATAAGGCGGACGAGGGCATAAAGCAGCATGCTACCTACGCGGAGTTGGTCACACTGCCGAGTCGTAGCCCATGGAACTCGCCAAATCTATTCAGAAGACCTGAGGGGGGACGCGGACCAGGTTTCGCAGGGAGGTCCCCCCCCCGTGTTGATGGCTCTGCGAGCTCTGATGTGCTCAGCCCACTCCAATATCGAACCTTCTCGCGTGAGGTCGCCGCGGATCGGGTCGATGGCGAGATCTATGCTAAGCATGAACAGCTCAACATCAGGAGACGAGTAATGCTGCTCTAACTGCCACTGAATGTCACCCCGCCGACGTTGTCCACTGAACAAATGCAGGGCGAAGAAGACAGGGCGTCGAATCCGAAAGGGGACCGAAGTACACGCTATACCAGTGTAATCCTGAGGCCGATACGGATAAAACCGATCATCTGAAGCCCACGCGGACGGCTCTGGAGTCCCATCAGATAAAATACTCAAGAACACTGAAATAGATGCCGGATCTAACGCATAGTCAGATTCAAGGAGCACGTCCCTAGCATCGTCGTGAGATAACTCCTGCAACACTGCTTCGAGTTCCGGGGGAGCCGAGCCAGCCTGCCTGGAGGCCGGGACCGCGACACGCCAACGTCCCAGCCCAGATCGGCGCTGCTCGGCGCGGCGAGCCGATTCGAGGGCATTGAGCTCGTCCACCCGAGCTTGCGGTTCCTGTTGGCCCAACCAAAGCAAGGGCTCCCTCGAGGGCGCGAAGTTATTCGCGCTTCGCGCTTCGCGGTCCTCGTTCTTTCTCCCCCCTCCTCCTCGTCCTCCTTTTCTCCCTTTGGGAGGGCGGCGCGAGGGCGCGAAGTTATTCGCGCTTCGCGCTTCGCGCAGCGCGAAGCGCGAAGTTGGGAGCCCTAGCAAAGCAGCCCAAGAGCACACTTAGGGGAATCAAAGGAAACGCGATTAGCCAAAGCAGATCGATGGCTGAACCGCACATGGCATGTACAGCAAGTGTGGTCGGCGCCCAAGAAACGACGTACGAGTGCAACACGAGAGTGATGGCGACGAACAATGTGTGAACGAAGCGCTCTGGCACGGTCGAAAGGTTCTTGACACCACGGACAAGACCAGACTTTGCAAGACTCATCCTCTGCTTTCCGAAGGGGGTGTTCTGGACCACTAATGGCAAAAGGCACCCCAGCGTCCCGCATGATATCGAAAGTCACCCGCTCCGCGGTAGCACACAGGGCATACAATCGAACGTGACGGGCGTGGGACCCCAGGGAATCACGAATGATACGTTTCCAGGACGAGGCCGACTGACGAATGAGCACCTCCCAAGCCCCGAGGTCATCGTGGGGGTCCGGCATATCGTGCAGTCGGGAGTGGAACAGGCGGACCCACTGCAGATCGCTCAAAACCTGATGCCCCCAAGAACGAAAGCACTCCTGACGACACAGAGCAGCAAGAGCGAGGAGATGGGGAGGACCAGAAACCAGTAGTCGCCCATACAACCGAAGACGTTGAGCACTGAGCAAGGCAGACACAGGCGGCTCAGAACCTCCCCGAAAACAGCCAGGTTGTTGGCAGCCGAGCCGTCTCTCCGTGGCTGCTTGGAGATGGCGCGATAATACCGAATAACATCATCCTCGAGACCACGGAATTGCGCATCAGACAAGAAACCCCAAGTACCTGCCTGAAAAAGCTTCCCAGAGGTCACCAACGAGTCGAGCTGGACAGTGGCGACAGAGGGCTCGATGCTGGGCTGGCGAAATATGCGCTTGCGCAAGCAAAGCCACGCACTCGCGCACGACCGCGTGCGGTGAGCCAACTCAGGGCCCATGGAACAATAGTCATCCTGAGCGAGGAGGAGGGAGGAGGGGGAGGAGGGAGGAGGAGGGAGGAGGGTGGAGGGGGGAGGGGCGAGGAGGGAGGAGGGATCCCCGCCTCGCAGCCCTGGGGCAGGGACCACTCTACAGTGTAGACCCATGCCAAGAAACATCCTGCCATGCACCGACCCACGAACCCCGAAAGGAACTAGAAATGTAAGGCATGGCAACTGTTCAAAGACACCTGCTTGGGCGACGGGCACAGGCAATGCTGAGTGTATCGATCTTGATGTACCCTGCCGAGGGCTGTGCTGTGCTGCGCCGTGCTGAATTGCGATGTGCCATGCCGCGATGTTGCTTTATAGCGTTGTGTATCGAGTCCTCCTTTGCATCCGTGTCCTGACCGAACTGATCTGGATGTTAAGCTCGAGCTGCCTGAGCACACAGCAGCTGCCCCAGAGCTACTTGACATGGGGAAATGCCAGGATGATGCGCCGCAGAACGTCCCAAGGGACGCGCCAGGCGACGTGCCAGGGGACGTGCCATGGGGACGCACCGCGGGACGTGCCGAGGGGACGCGCTACGGAACGTGCGAATGGACCTGCCACAGGACGCGGCTGGGGACGCGCCGCGCGACGTGCCAGGGGGACTCGCCACGGGACGCGCCAGGGAACGTGCCAGGGAACGTGCCAGGTTGCATTGCTGAGTGTAACGATCTTGATGTAGACATCCGCCTGGGGGACCTGGACACGTGAAAACAAGCGTTGCGCTCAAGACATTCTCAACACATCCTCATGCTAGATATCCGCCTGGACAACCTGGACACGTGCAAACAAGCGTCTCGCTCGAGACTTCCTCAAGACATCCTCATGCTAGACATCCGCCTGGGCGACATGGACGCGTGAAAACAAGACTCTCGCTCCAGACATTCTCAAGAAATGTCCATGCTAGACATCTGCCTGGGCAACCTGGACGCATGAAACCAAGCGTCTCGCTCGAGATATCCTCAAGACCTGGGCACGTGACAACAGGCACTTTAATTTAGAAATCCTCTGAATTCTGGTCCCCACGAGAGGGCAATCTATAACACTTGACAAGCGTTTCGTTCGAGACATCCTCGACAAATCGGGAAACACGCGTCTCGCTCGGGACATCATCAAATTCTGAATTCGCCGGCCCACCCTTCCTCGGTTATCGACCGCATCTGAATTTGCCGGCCCACCTCAAGTCGATTCCGGGTGGTAAACCTCTAAAGGAGAGCCCTGGGCCCACGCCCTGTCCGGGAAGCGTCAATGGGCGCCCTGGGGTTTCAGGTCTAGACGCCCGAAATGGGTACGGAAAGAATGAGTACAATGCCCAACAGCAGTTCTTGTTCATTTTGAACAGGACTCGTTG